CCCCCCCCTAAATCTCGTGATTTAAAGCAGAATCATGATTCAGCAGAGTAATGAGGCTGGCTGCCTTGAGTGAAAGGAAACAAGCAGCCCCACTGCTGCTTGGCTGGTTTGTAAGCCAGGATTAAACAGCACCGGGCACCCAGAGGATAAACCCCAAAGCCAAGGGGGCCGTGTGGATACAGAGATCATCTGCAAAGTACAGACAGACTGCCAGGACCTCGCTCTGTCTGCAAGGGCAGACAGGAAATTTGGAGCTGCAGCATTAGCTCTGCCCAGCCTCAAATGCTTCCACTTACATTGTAGGAATTGGCCCTTTACAGCTCAGTTATGTCCCTTAAGGCTGCCAGTGTCAAGTGGTGCTCCAATTCCATTTAGAGACCTCATCCAGTGTCTGACCATGAATACAAAAGAGTCACTGGGAGTCAGTTCTGGCAGCAGGAGACTTAATATTCAATACCCCTGACAACTACCCTCTAGAACATCATTGTTCTTTGTTCTTTGACCTGTGCTAATTAGCAGGATGAAAGTGGGTTTTCACTTTAACCCTGTACTTCACTACTGGCTCATGACTAAACCATGACCAATAGAGCTCTTACTTTCCACTGCCTGGAGGCTCATCATGGCACATGAATTTGTCTGAGACAAAAAGATTTCTGGAAACTTTAAAATAAAGTGAGCTCTCTGGGTCCACCCATGTGAAAGTGTGTTGAACATGGAGAAGAGAAAGCTCTGGTGCTCTCCCTTCAATGACATTTCTCTGTCCACCTTGGAGATGTCCTACATCCCCTTGAGAGCAGGAGTCACTCTGTCCCTGGAACTGTGGTCCAGAGCCCAGCAGCCTCTGCACCTGCAGGGACAACAGCTCACAGACAGGCACCCACTGAAACCACCCCAATCGTGCCTGACTGCGGTGAAAGCAGAACAAACACAAGCAGTCCCACAAGCCAGTGGGCTGGGATGATATAAATCTCTGCCCAGAAGAGAAACTAGAGCAGTAAGTGTAATAATTTCATCTCCAGGGGCCAGCACCAGGCAGGGACATGGCCCAGTGGGGCTGGTCCAGCAAGAGTACAAAATGCCTGAGGCACTGGGTTGCCATTAACTTGTTTCATTTGCCACGAGTGCTGTGTAAGACACACACCCATAAAGGTTTTGGCATCTTTGTCACTGACTTTTGGTCCCCCAGCCCAATTCCTGC